AGCAGGCTCTCCGCTGAGCAGGGAGCCTGATGCGGGGCTCGATCCCAGGACCCCGGGATCATGACCTGAGCTGAAGGCAGCTGCTTAACCAACTGAGCCACCCAGGTGCCCCACAATGCTATTCTTAATGGCAAAATAAATAAGAATGTTTCCATTAAAATGAGGACCAAAATTAAAGGGATGCCGGCTGTTGCCTGTGCAAATAAATGAAGACCAACCAAACAAGAAAAACAAAAACTATTTATTCTGAGTTTGCTATAACAAGAGAGTCAGCTACCATCACTGGAGTTTTGTCAGTTACTCAAAGGCAGGCAGAAGATTGGGAAAGCTTTACAGTAGAGAAAAGGGAAGGCTTCACATGTGCTCCGCCCAACTGGAGACTATTGGCATGGGGAAGCTTGTAGACAGGCTAACTAGAAATGGGACATCCTATGTGATTGGTTAGAGGTGCATATTTTGCTTTCTATTGTTGGTCCCATGTTGGAAGTTGGGACCAAAATTGGGAAGGTTGTCAGTTATTAATGAAGTCATGGCCATTTGGGCGAGATTGTTACAGAAGTTATTGTTTAGCTTCTCGGATTGTCACTATAGATAGCAGCCTGGCTTCCTGTAAGTCTGACTTGTAAGAGGCTGGCTTCCTGGGTTGTTTATTGTAGATAAGGGGTTGGTTTCCTGGGCAGGTGGCTGCTGCTTGTGGGCCAAGGTTCTGTTTTCTGTATGGTCTGGCCATTGTCCATTTGTATATTTAGTCTCTCAACCACTGTAATTTAAAATTGTTTTGAAATTTCTGACTAATGCAATAAGATAGTAAACACATGATTTAAATTTGGGGAGGGTGCAGAAAGTAGATGGTGGAATTTTTATCTTAAACTAAACGTTTGAATTAATAAAGTCGTTTAGGAAAAAGCACTCTACTGTTCTGGCAATAATTAGGTAGGAAATGTAATGAGAAAAGCTTTCATTCACCATACCAACAAATAAAATTTAGGGATGCCTGGGTGGCTCAGTCGGTTAAGCAGCATCTGCCTTGGGCTTAGGTCGTGAATCTGGGGTCCTGGGATAGAGCCTGCAAGGCATCAGGCTACCTGCTCGGCAGGGAGTCTGCTTCTCCCTCTGCGTGCCGCTCCCCCCTGCTTGTGCTCTCTCTCTCTGACATATAAATAAATACAATCTTTAAAACAAACAAACAAAAAACCCAAAATAAAATTTATAGTTATGCTCTTAATGGAGTATGTTTGATCTATATAATCCAAACTATCAAAGAAACTATTACCAGAAGAAAAAACACTGGAAACACCTTTTAATAGAAACATTCTTAATTTTTCACCACTGAATAAAAGGAGAGGCATGCTAAGTTTTGGATGGAAAGCCTAAGCATTGTAAATATTTCAGGCCATCTTAAATCAACTTAAAAATTTAATACAATTTCTATTTAAATTCTCAATGGAATTTTTTGGGAGGCAACTAAAAATTTTTTCTAAAGTTGATCTAAAAGAATAAACAAAGAGCAAGACATATTTATTCATTCAATACCTATTTCTTGATTTCTGTGTTCCAAACTCTAGGGGAACATTAGTGAACAAGGTATTAACGTTTTAAAGTAATCCGATGTGAGTAAAATGTGTTTTCTTCTTTTCTAATAGATTGTTATCATTAACAAATTTAATTTTATGAAGATGTAGACCTGACATAAAAAAATTTTTTTTTTAAGATTTTATTTATTTATTTGACAGAGAGAGAATGAGAGAGCACATGAGAGGGGGGAGGGTCAGAGGGAGAAGCAGACTCCCTGCCAAGCAGGGAGCCCGATGCGGGATTCGATTCAGGGACTCCAGGATCATGACCTGAGCCGAAGGCAGTCGCTTAACCAACTGAGCCACCCAGGCGCCCCTGACATAAAAAATTTCGTTTTAAGATTTGTTTAAACAAATAAAAGTAGAAGTGTTAACATCTCTTTCTTACTAAATTCCTGTTATAGCACCTCCAAAGGGAAAACTCCTGGAGGGCAGAAATTTGCCTTTTCTACTTTTTGTAGCAGTGCCTTGTTTATAATAGTGTTTAGATTTTTATAATCCCCTCAGTTATTAGTTGTCCATTACAGAAATGCAAGAAGGAAAATATTTCAAGTATAGGCTAAACATGGCTAGAGTTTACTTTTCTTGAAGTATTTTCCCTTAAACTCACATTGTACTTATTGTTTAGACAGAAAACATAAGGTTATCTAGAGACATTTTATCATATCAAGGAAGGAGAAAAATAATCCCTAAATTACTATACATATTTAATCAACATATCACCAATTCAGGTTAAATTGCTTAGTACAAGGAATACCTTGATGTCCACGTTTATACCAGCTGAAAATAAAGAAAATGTTCTGTATTGAATTAATTAACTCTGTGGACACTAATAAGCAATGAACTCATGTTCTAATTGAAAGGCCAGATGCTACTGAAACAGGACAAGAAGAGATGAAGCAAGAGAATTTCTGAATTTTACTTTCTTAAACTGCAAGTGCTAAGTTAAACCAGTTTCTTACATTTCAAATCAGGGAAGAACACATTTTGGCCAATTTAGGAAACAGCATCTGGATTAAATGCTCTTGTTTTTCATAAGTACTTTGGAAGAGATGTGTACAGAATTTTCTTCATAAAGTTTTAAGAACAAAATCATAAGCAACAATGAACGCTATGTTTGGAATTGTATCTTTCTAGATTTGTCCATGGGTTAGCAAAGGAGGGAAAGTTGTTTTCTTTTGGGAGTATATGCCATTATTGTAGTTATTTGAAGGTAGATTTTAATTATAATTCCTTAAGGAGTGTCTGAATAATACTTCTACCTCAGAAGGACTAGTGTATGGATGCTTGCCGTCAGAAGGACTATGGGGAGTTGCCTCAGAATGAGGCATGGCAGACTGTGTAGGGAGCCTTCACAGTGGCTGCTTTCACTGTTAAAATACCAGTGAAATGAGGTGAGAACACACTGTCAGCCATTTCCCTCTATCTTCAGGCTCTAGTGGAGAATCCCTTCCTTGTCTTTTCCAGCCCTCATTGCTAAGCTCGTGGCCCCGCCATCTTCACAGGCAGCCTCTGTGTCACTCTGATCCCTGCTTCCACGATCATATCTCCTCTGACTTTCCTGTCTCCCTCTCATCTATAAGGACCCTCGTGATGGCGTTAGGCCCAGCCAGATAATTCAGACGAATCTCCCCATCTCAAAACCCTTAACGTAATCATACCTGCAAAATCCCATTTACCATGTTCGGTAATATACTCACAGGTTCTGGGGATTGGGACATGGACTTCTGGGGGGTGGTGGGGTGATTATTCTGACTATCACAGTTCCTTTAAATCAAAACCTAAGGAAATATTTCCTTCATGGAGAAGTTTAAAGTGGTGTGAAATTATCAATGAGTATATAAACTAATTTCTAGAATAATTTGCTTTTTTTTTTTTTTTTTAAGATTTTATTTATTTGAGAGAGAGAGCATGCATGAGGTGGGGGGCAGGGGCAGACAGAGAGGGATAAGCAGACTCCCCCCTGAGCAGGGAGCTCAGGATCATGACCTGCGCCCAAGGTGCTTAACCAAGCTTAACCAACTGAGCCACCCAGGTGTCCCTAGAATAATTTGCTTTTTTAAAAAGCTTGTGAATGCTTTAAAATAATTGCATATTACAGAATAACCTGGACTTTCTGTATAAGTGAAAAAAGTTACGAAGGGCGCCTGGGTGGCTCAGTTGTTAAGCATCTGCCTTCAGCTCAGGTCATGGTCCCAGGGTCCTGGGATCGAGCCCCGCATCGGACTCCCTGCTCCGCAGGAAGCCTGCTTCTCCCTCTCCCACTCCCCCTGCCTGTGTTCCCTCTCTTGCTGTGTCTCTGTCAAATAAATAAATAAAAATCTTTTTAAAAAAAATTTATGGAAATAACTCTCAAATAATATCACTTGGTGACATATATGTCTCCTCTCTCTCTGATCAGAGGGATATCTTTCTAGATTTTGTTTTCCTTTGGTCCAAGTCATGTAACTTTTCTGTGTTATCATTTTAAATATACATTCTAAACCATTTGACTGTCCTTTAAAGGCTAAAACCTATTTGTGCCTTGCTTTATTACGTGATTAGGAGACTTTCTAGTTGAATTTAATTAGAGAGGATAGGATGAAACCAATATATACAGAATCAGGAAAGCAGAAACTTCTCAGAGGAGATCAGGGAGTGATCACAAACTGCTCTGTGTAGCTAAAATAGATTTCCATCCCAAGATTCTGCTAATAAGAACTTGACAATTAAAGAGCTATAGTATGGGGCGCCTGGGTGGCTCAGATGGTTGAGCGTCTGCCTTTGGCTCAGGTCATGATCCCAGGGTCCTGGAATCGAGTCCCACATCGGGCTCCCGGCTCAGCGGGAAGCCTGCTTCTCCCTCTCCCACTCCCCCTGCTTGTGTTCCTGCTCTCGCTGTCTCTGTCTCTGTCAAATAAATAAATAAAATCTTAAAAAAAAAAAAAGCTACAGTATTTCCAATTTCACTAAGTAGTAAATAAAATAGTAGATTGGAATACATTAATAAAAAGTGATATACTCTTAATCATATAATAAAAATTGTTAATTGAGTCTTATTTATTGTTTTTTTCTTTAGTAAAACCAATGAACTCAGTGAGAAATTTGATAAGGGGAGGAAGTTACATTCAGTGCCAGTCCAAACCTGGGTAGCTTAGTTGGTTAAGCATCAGACCCTTGATTTTGGTTCAGGTCATGATCTCAGAGTCCTGGGATGGAGCCTGAGGGGAGCCCCACCCTGTCGGGCTCCCTGCTCAGTGGGTAGGCTCCTTGCCTCCTTCTCCTCCTGCCCCTCCCCCTGCTCTCGTGGGCGCGCGCTCTCTCTTAAATAAATCTAAAAAAAAAAAAAAAATCTAGTCCTCAGTCATTTGTAGGTTTTAAAATTCACAGAATCAGGATTTATTTTTTAAAATTGTGTTTTAAAGATTTTATTTATTCATTTGACAGAGAGAGAGAGCACAAGCAAGGGGAGCGACAGGCAGAGGGAGAGGGAGAAGCAGGCTCCCAGCCCAGCAGAGAGCCCGACGTGGGGCTCGATCCCAGGATTCTGGGATCACGACCTGAGCCGAAGGCAGCTGCTTAACCAACTGAGGCACCCAGGTGCTCCAGAATCAGGATTTATAAGCATAATGTGCTTACATGAGGAATAATCATTCACAGCAGATCTGAATAAACCCTCTTAATGTAACTTTCTAAAATCCAGGTTTGAAACTCCTTTCGATATTTTACAAGAATTTTCATATGATGTTTATAATTATTATGTTTCATATTATGTTAGAACACAATACAGACACATACCTCACCCCCTCCTTTTCCCTGCCATCTTCTCTATATTCAGCTAGAAGTGCAAGCTTTGTTTTCTAAGCACTTTGAAAGGAAGTGAACAGATCTGAGAAGTAAAACTGGAATACAAAGTCAAAAGTGTGAAGAAGTCTTCCACTAGCCAGGACTTTGGCGGGGGGAGGGGGGTGGAGAGGGAGACCTGAAAATCTTAATGCTCTGTTTTTTTGTTTACTGCAGAACTGAAATTCTCCTTTATCTCACTTAGAGTAATTAGTCTACAGAAGACCTTGTCTGCTTATAATTTTCAGGACTAATGTGACCATTTTGGACAACCTTTAGCATGATACAGTGGTTTTCAACCAGAGATGATTTTGCTCCCCAGGGGACATTTAGCAAAGTCTGGAGACATTTTTGTCACAGCTGGGGTTGGGGAGTGCTACTGCATCTAGTGGGTGGATGCTGCTAAACATCCAACAATTCAAGGGCAAAGACTTATTGGCCCACAATATCAATAGTGTGAAGTTGAAAAATCTTGGGTTTATAGGATGTTATTTAATTTTTGACGGACGTTCTGTGGTAGTGATGTGAGATAGTGTTTAAAAATTTTATTATAAAAGTATAAGCACTAGAGGGCAGTACCTGCCCAACAGTTGCAACTGATGTTACTTTACTTTGGTGGGGGAGGGGAGGGTCTTTGAAGGAAAAAAAGAGCTTGTGATTTAGGTAACTTGAAGGTAAGTGACTGTAAAAGATCCTTAAAGAAGTATTTAAGTAATTCTAGATCAAAAACAGTTTTAATGATTACCGTTTCTGAAGTCAGTAAAAGCAGAGCAAGAAGGGTTTTTTTTTTTCTTCTTTTTATAATGATATCTTGTGAACTGTTGCCAGAGAAAGGGGAAAATTCACATGAGGTTTTCACACACTGAAACACTAACGTCATTGCCACTAACACTTCTATTTGTTCTCTTGAAGCAGGTGATGGAAAGTCGCTATTCCTAGGGCATAGGGATTCCTGTAGTGCTGTTGAAGCTGTGTCTAGAACAGGGGAACTTAGAAAGCCAGTGATTGAACCCACTAGGCAACTCAGAGTCTGACTCCACTCTGTGATTCTATGAAACATAAATAATACCCAGTTTGTTGCTGGAAGTTATTTACGTTAGCTATCTATACAAGAATGCAATAAAATTTTCCTAAGGGTCGGTCCAGTTTTTAAAAATGAAACAATTGAGGTGGGTGGGGGGATGGAGTCACTGAGGGATGGGCTTTAAGGAGGGCACGCGATGTGATGAGCACTGGAGTGTTATAGGCAACTGATGAATTATTGAACTCTACATCTGAAACTAATGATGTACTATATGTTGGCTAGTTAAATTAAAATAAAAACAATAAAAAAGAAAATTACTTTTCCTTTTTAGTATGAGACATCCAAGCTTAAGCCTGAGTTTTGGGGGCTTTTAATAAAAATTGACCCCTTCCCCAAAACAGGTTAAACCGTTTGCTAAACTCATGTTAAACTCACATTTTTATTATTAAACATTCAAGGTGTACAACATGGTATAAAGAATGGACACGTCTTCTCCAGTTGTATCCTTCTCTCCCTGCCTCCTGCCCTGCCCTCAGGCCCAGGGAAATGAGTTTGATGTTTAACATTCTCCTGTGTTTCTTTGTACTTTTATTACATGTGTTAAAAATGCACAGTAATATATAACTTTTGCATATTTAAAAACTCCATATGCATGGCATGTAAGTGTTCTATAATTTGTGTTTTTCCTTCAACATTATGTCCATGTTGATAAAAATAGCTCCAGTTATACCAACATTTATTTATTATCTTTACGATTATAGATATTTAGGTTGTTTCCAGATTTGCTAATACAAATAATGATGTTATGTACATTTTCATATATAGTTGTTTTTGTGTACATGCTTATTTTTCGCTATTTTACCAAATATAATTTTTAAAAATGCAAAAACCTATAACCTGTTGCATCAGACTGCATATTTTCTGAAAGTCTTAAATATGAAGAGAATTCTCTGAATCTTATGCTTTCATTTGGTTTAAGCAATGAGCTTAAACACATCTTTTTTGTTGCTTCTGGGGCTAGGAAGAGGGTAGTAATTGGTGTAGTGGTACAGAATACCCATTAGGTTTATCTTTCTTTTGAGAGGGTGCTAGGAATTGAGAAAAGACTAGGAAAATAATGGGCTCATGTAATTTTTAAAAAAATATTTATTTATTTGACAGAGGGAGAGAGAGAGAGCACAAACAGGGGGAGCAGTAGAGGGAGAGGGAGAAGCAGGCTCTCCGCTGAGCAGGGAGCCCAATGTGGGGCTCGATCCCAGGACACTGGGATCATAACTTGAGCCAAAGGCAGACATTTAACTGACTGAGCCATCCAGATACCCTGGGCTCATGTAATTTTTGAACTTAAAGATCTCTTTTAAATATTCAAGAATAGGTCATATTAAAAAAACATAAATAGTTCAGACTGACTTTATTGGTCTGGACTGGCTTTATTGCCTTCTGCTAGATCCATGAAAGCAGTAATTTTTGTCTGTTTTTGTTTATACTTGTAAAAATGCCTAGCATGTAGTAGATGTTCAAGGAATATCTGGTCATTGAATGAATGAATATATAGAACCCAATCCACCTGGATGAAAGCTTGAAATTCATTGAACTACTTGGATATTTATAATATATCACTTAATACTAAGCAATACTATATTTGGAATTATCAAGATATTCTTGTTTTTCATCTAGGTTTTTTACACAGTAAAAACACAGTTGTGACTTTGCTCTCCATGGTAAATAATAATGAAAAGAGCTAACCCTAGTGAGTGAGTGCTAGGCACAGTGCATTACATGTATACACTCTTTTAATCCATGTAAGAACTCTGTGAGGTAGGTATTATTATCATCTCCATTTTTACCAATGAAGAAACCAAACGCAGAGAGCTTAAATAACTGTCAGAAAGCTAGAAAGTGGCAGAGCAGATATTTGAAATCAAACAGTTTGGAAGAATTTTATTGTTTAAACCTGGGATCTTTGAAGTCTTAGAGTCCAATCCTTTTAAGTCAAGCTTTATAATAGAAATGTAACATGAGAGGCCCCTGGGTGGCTCAGTCAGTTAAGCGTCCGATTCTTGATTTCTGCTGGGGTCTTGATCTCAGGGTTGTAGGATCAAGCCCTGTGTTTGGGCTCCACGCTCAGTGGGGAGTCTGCTGGAGATGCTCTCTCTCCCAAACTCCCAATCCCCCTCCACACTTGCGCTCTTGCTCTCTCTGTCTCAAATAAATAAATAGATCTTTAAAAAATATATAACATGAGCCACTTTAAAAAAAAAGATTTTATTTATTTATTTGACAGAGAGATAGAGAGAGCCAGAGAGCACAAGGTGGGGAGAGCAGAGGGAGAGGGAGAAGAAGACCCACTGATGAGCAGAGAGTGAGATGTGGGGCTCGATCCCAGGACCCCAGCACCTGGGTAGCTCAGTTAAGTATCTGCCTTCTGCTGGGGTCATGATCCTGGGGTCCTGGGATCTAGCCCCACGCCCCCGCATTGCCTCAGGCTCCCTGCTTGGTGGGGAGCCTGCTTTTCCCTCTCCCTCTCCCTGCCCTCCCCCTGCTTGTGCTCTCTCTGTCAAATAAATAAGTAAAATCTTAAAAAAAATTATTTTTATTTTTTAATTACTTTTTAAAGATTTATGTATTTTAGAGAGAGCGTGAGTGAGCAAGGGGAAGGGCAGAGGGAGAGGGAGAGAAGCAGACTCCCCACTGAGGCACCCTAAAAGATTTTTTATTTTTAAGCAATACTTACACCCAATGTGGAGTTTGAACGTACAACCCCAAGATCAAGAGTCTCATGCTCTACCAACTGAATTAGCCAGGCACCCCCCAAATTATGAGCATTTCAAAAAAAATTCACAAATATAATTTAAAATGCCTACATGCCGATAGTGTGATGTATCATAATTTCTTCAGCCATCCCCAATGGCTAGACATTTATTCCAGTTTTCCATACAGGTATACTTTGGAGATGTTGTGGGTTTGATTCCACAGCTCTGCAATAAAGCAAGTCAAATGAATTTTTTGGTTTCCTAGTGCATATAAAAGTTATGTTTATAATATACTGTAGTCTAATTAGTATGCAATAGCTTTATCTCTAAAAAAATGTATATACCAGGGCGCCTGGGTGGCTCAGTTGGTTAAGCATCTGACTGGCTCAGGTCATGGTCTCAGGGTCCTAGGATGGAGCCCCACCTCTGTCTGGCTCCGTGCTCAGCGGGGAGTCTGCTTCTTCCTCTCCCTCTGCCCCTCACTCCCCCGCCCGCCCCCTGCTCATGCTCTCTCTCTCTCAAATAAATAAATAAATAAAAATCTTTAAAAAAATGTACATACCTTAATTAAAAAATACTTTATTGCTGAAAAATGCTAACCATCATCTGAGCTTTCAGTAAGTCACTATCTTTTTTGCTGGTGGAGGGTCTTGCTGCAATGTTGACGGCTGCTGACTGATCAGGGTGGTGGTTGCTGAAGGCTGGGGTGGCTGAGGCAATTTTTAAAAATAAGACAACAGGGGTGCCTGCCTGGCTCAGTTGGAAGAGCATGCAACTCTTGATCTTGGAGTTGTAAGTTCAAGCCCCACGTTGGGTGTAGAGATTACTTAAAAAAAAAAAAAACTTAAAAAAAAAGACAACAATGTAGTTTGCCGTAGTGATTAGCTTTTCCTTCCACAAATGATTTCTCTAGCATGCGATTCTGTTTGATAGCATTTTACCCACAGAGCTTCTTTCAAAACTGGAGCCAGTCTTCTCAAATCCTGCTGCTGCTTTATCAACTACATTTGTGTAATATTCCAAGTCCTTTGTTGTCATTTCAACAATCTTCACAGCACCTTCACCAGGAATAGAGTCCATCTCAAGAAACCACATTTTTTAAAAATTAACATATATTATTTGTTTCAGGGGTACAGGTCTGTGATTCATCAGTCTTACACAATTCACAATGCTCACCACAACACATACCCTCCCCAAAGCCCATCACCCAGCCAACCCATCCCCAAGAAACCACTTTCTTTGCTCATCCTAAGAAGCAGCTTCTCATCCCTTCAAGTCTGATCATGAGATTGCAGCAATTCAGTCACATCTCCGGCTCCACTTCTAATTCTCATTCTCTTGCTGTTTCCACTACTCTGCAGTTACTTCCTCCACTGAAGTCTTGAAACCCTCAAGGTCATCCATGGGGGTTGGAATCAACTTCTTCCAAACTCTTGTTAATCTTACTATCTTGACCTCTTCCCATGAATCACGAATCATAAGACATGAATCATGTCTTATAGCATCTAGAATAGTGAAAACTTTCCAGATGGTTTTCAATTTATTTTGTCCAGCTCCATCAGAGGAATCACTGTGGTAGCAATATCCTTATGAAATGTATTTCTTAAATAAGATTTGAAAGTTGGAATGACTCCTTGATCCATGAGCAGCAGAATGGACGCTGTGTTAGCAGGCATGAA